GTGAAGCAAAATCGCTTTGCTTTCCTCTTGACTGTGTCACTCCGAGAGGAGGGTAGACTGGCAATGTCATTCGTTGAGGAACTGCTTGTTGTGGCTCCATCGCATGGTGCGACTGCTGAGAAGCGAACAGGTGGAAAGGATCCGCGTACGTTCTGTTGTGCTCTTGCCCACCGATGTCATTTGTAGGAAATTGAGGTTGAGGCAATGGATGAAGATATGGCAGCATGAAAGGAGACATCGGTGGCTCGAAAGCACGCGTTTGGGTTGTTGTGGGTGAGAGTGCGGAGTGGTTGGGTTGAGCGACTCCAAAAGACATTGGGCTAGACAAAAGTCTTGGATTAGCAGGGTTTCCGTCAAACAGTAAGAGATGAGGGGAAGGAAGGATTGTGGGGAACGTGTACGGGGCAAAGGTTGGGAATGTGAAAAGCGGTGCAGCCGTTGTCGTAGTGGTAGTGATTTCAGCTGGAAGCATTACCGGTTTCTCTTCTCGCTCTGACTGTTCTAATTTATCCGAGTAGTGCTGTCTTCGTTTCGTTGGATTAAAAATCGGAGCTCCAAAACTTCCAGGACGATCGAAATGTTGTTGAGCTTGTCCGATCCTAAATTTAACACATGCTTCCTTAAAATACACCTAATAGATTTTCTGAAAATCTAAGCTAGTCACAATTGAATAAGTTATTTGATAAATCGTTCTTGGCATTAGAGCATTTTCATCTCAGGACCACAAACATTTACGAGAAGAAAACTAGGTGGAAAAGCAGCATTCCACACCTTCTCTCCTTCCTCATTCGTTTTCTCGGTTTAATTTCGCGATGCCACATCCTTTCTTGTTCCACATGTGCGTGTCCGAGATGACCCAGCGATACGGATCCATTGTTGGCCTTTTCCAGTATTTGGATCAACTCAAATTCAACATTATCGTCGACTGAAAAGGTGAAATTAGTGAAAGCGGCAATAACTTCTTGAAACTACTCTATAAAAGCGATAATCTGCATCTATCGTTTATCTCGTGCGGAACTTATAAAAGTCCATTTTT